CAAGAAGCAATGGGTTTAAACTGCAGCAAGGGAGGTCTAGGTTGGACATTAGGAAAAAGTTCCTAACTGTCAGGGTGGTTAAACACTGGAATAGATTGCCTAGGGAGGTTGTGGAATCTCCATCTCTGGAGATATTTAAGAGTAGGTTAGATAAATGTCTATCAGGGATGGTCTAGACAGTATTTGGTCCTGCCATGCGGGCAGGGGACTGGACTCGATGACCTCTCGAGGTCCCTTCCAGTCTTAGAATCTATGAATCTATGAATATCTGTCTTTCAGGCTGTCAGACAATCTGCATAATTTCTAGTTGTAATTTTGAGGAAGCATAACACACAAACATGTTTTCCCTTAATGAAAAGCATTCCATATTAAATAATGGCCCCATGGACTTTATCCCAGCAACACATTGCAAAGTAGAGGTAGTTGTTTTGTGTCAGGATATAATAGTCATGACAGAAAATAACCGTAAAGAAGAGATGTATAGGACAGTTTCTGAAATAACCTAAAGATGGTAATTTTGTTTGAAAAGAGTCAATTTTCTTGTTTCCAAACAAATAATCAAATAAATTAGTCTTCATTAGAGTGTTAGTGGCTAATACACGTGCCACTCAACCCAAGTGGCTCTATAAAGATGAGGGCTGCAAAAGAATCATTTGAATTAAAAACACATCATGGAAAGTGTTGCTGGAAATCTGGCAGCCAAAGTTCTGCTGGGTTTCTCCATTCTAAATATTGTACAAAAATGAAATTGCAGTTATGCAACATCCTACTACATTGGCTGTTCCAAATGAGCCCTTCTGAACATCTGTGGTGGGCAACGTTCCATCTCAAAACGGAAGGATTCTTGCCTGCCAAACAAAACTGGCAGTTAAGAAAGTAGGAAAATCATCTTGATTATTATAGTCAAGAAAGACAGTTGCTACCTCCTTAAATGATTGGACCCATGTTTTATGGTTTGTTGTTTTAAATCTGATGTCATGTATAAGTGTACGGAATCTCAACAATTTCAGATTTTTCATTAGGGTTCTTTACTGGAGTTTGTAACTCTAAGGTGCTAACCTCCTGTTAGCACATGAGTTTACTCAACACGTGATGTGGGATTTTTCATTGAACCAGCATTACAAGTACAATGCACAAATGTTTGTTCCAGATTGGTAGCTCAGTTTGAGCACTGGGATTGGACTATATGTCGTAAAGCAGAAGTTTCCCATCTGCAGAGTTCTTGCTGGTGGTCCCCGGAGAGGTGGCTGTCACATGATGCTGCATCTCTTCCTCATTTCTACCTGCTAAATGACATGAGCAGATGAAAATACATTAACTATTATTTTTTTCATGCGATGAATTGCCACAGGGATGTTTTGTGATTGCAAGTGGAAATGGAGGTAGTCTGTGCTATTCTGAATGGATGGGAGGATGGTCTATACAATTGTAAAAGACAAGAGTGGAGGTCCATGAGACAATCTCTCTATCAAGATCTGACCCACACTGTGAAAAAATGTGAGAACCCAGGTAGTAAAGGGGTCAAAAGGTGATCTTGTGCTTAAGACTTAGACTGGGACTTAGGAAATCTGACTTATGTTTAACTGCCACAGACTCCATGTGTGACCATGGGCAAGTCACTTAATCTTTGGGGACTCAGTTTCCCATTTGGAAATTGGGAAGGGTAGTCCTTAATGTCAAAGGGGTATTATAAGAAGACAGTCAATATTTTTTGTGAGGCACAGGGATACTGTGATGATGGAGGATGGATAAATTTCTAGATAGGAATTTGGCATGCAAAAAAAAAATTAAATTATAAATAAAGAACAGTGTTGTGCTTCTAGTAACACAGTATGCAAGAATTTGGTATAGCATAGTGGATACTTTAAACTAAATTTCATAACCACTGATCAGAAATACATACCAAATCTGAATCTATTTCTCTATAAACTGAATGGCAGGCTGTACATGACAGCAATGCTGTATAATGGCAGTTCTAAACCGGTGTTCTTTTGAGCATACTGTACTGTCTTTGGGCCTGATCAAATTCCCACGGAAGTGAGTAGGAGTCCTTCTTTTACTTTAATGGGAGTTGGACTGGACTATTATGCTATAGATAAGTATGGCATCTCCAGAATGAAGTGGTCTCTGTTTAAGGCGAAGTAACTTAATCAGTAGAGTTCAGAAAACTTTAGATGAAGTTCCATTCTCCTTTGCCACATCAATTGCTGAAGAACAAGAAGAGCCAAGCCACCTTTCTCATGTGTAATGGATGTGAACAAACCAGAAAAGAGTTAAATGACCATCCTTTAATTCAAGTAAATTTCTTGTTTCTTTTAATAGTTTTTAAGTGGATTCTATCAAGTTTAGTAAGACACAGAATGGTTTTTTTTGTAATGGTTTATACAAACCATATAATTCTTTTGTTTATTTCTCTAAAACATAAGGCTTCAGTGCCCCCTAAAATAAATAAAAATTCATGCTGTGACCCAGCTCTCATACAGTAACAAGTCACTGTGTGCATGTGAGAGAAATGTAAAAATGATGGGGACGGATTGGATTTAATTTCCAAGTTTCTAATGATCTGTTATTTCAAGTAAATGAATAAATTAGTGGGCTGGAGACAGAAAAGTTTTTAAGTCATTAAAAAGTACCTTTACAATTAGGGTAACCAGATAGCAAATGTGAAAAATTGGGACAAGGGGTGAAGGGTAGTAGGCACATATATAAGAAAAAGCCCTGAATATCGGGACTGTCCCTATAAAATTGGGACATCTGGTCACCCTATTTACAATGTAATTTTCATTATACTAGTTTTCACTGGTGTTTGTTTCCACAGTTCAAAGTTTATGCCAGTTTTTCAGTGAATCCAATCTTAGCTTCATTAAGCCACTCCCAGGAGGTGTAAGGTAACCATAGCAACCCCTATATTCCTCACTCTTGGCCCTACATAAGGGGATGGCCGAGCAAAAATGGCTGCACCCAGATCACCCTTGCTAAAAGCTACCTCTGCAACCCCTCCCCAATTGACTTAGTGCTGCTCTGGCACAATGGAGGATCTAGCCCAATGTAATCCAGGAGTTCATAATCCAAATTTGCCCCACCATGAAATATCACATGCTAAATAAGAGTCCAGATAGTGGGGATTACATGCATTTAAGTAGAACTTTGATTTAAATAAATGTACCAACTTTGATTTTAAAATGTAAATACACTTAAAATAGAAATGTAAAGGCAAGAACAAAAATCTTTGCTATGCCAGGAGCTATCTGCACACAAATCCAGCAGTGTGAACCCCATGTGTTGGGGGAAAGCAGATACAGAGATTTCACCACATACTTCTCTCTTCAGCTGTGTTGCAATTGTGGATAGAGTCTGCAACCCTGCCATAAAAGGCAAGACTGCTCCCACATCTGTTGGTGAGGGAAGAGGGCCAGGGATCTAAAAGATGTCAGGCCAGCCTGTCAATAAAAATATGGCAATAAATGTCAGTGCAAATGGAATCGCTAAAGGTACCGGTATTGTTCAGCTGGAAGAGGAACTGGGAGACTTTTCTTATGGTGTTCACAATAGGACTGAAGACTAAGATAAACAGGATATACCTGAAAATATGATCTCTTCTCTTTCAGGATTCCAAAGAAACTACAGAGACTCCTACCCCCTTTCTGTACTCTTATGACCAAAGATGGTCCTACTCCAATACATACTCTTTCTCCTATTTTTGGATATTATTTTTTTTAAAAGTCATTTATTTAATATGTTACATATTCATAGATGTTTTGGAGGAAGAGTTTTGTGTGGGTTTATATGAACATCTGTGTGTACTTTTTTTTGGTTGTGATAATTTGTGAACACAAAGTTATGTGAATAAAAATTTCATTGTACTAAAGCTTCTAGTTATGTTTATGTTTGATTTTGCTGTATGTATTTTTCTATTCCCTGACAGCTTTTGCCCTCATTTATGTCCATGGAATCTGAACCTTCAATGGGTGTAAACAAATTTAACGGAACAAAATGTAACTCTTGTTTTAGTTTGGAGGCAATCTTTCCTAGATGCTTTCCCCTCTTGCAGCATTCCCTTGTAGTAGTAGTTTTTTCACGTGTAAATGAGAGGTGACTACTTATACATGGTAGAAACAAGAATAGAACATTTTATGCAAAAAAGTCAGTACTGTCATGTTCTGGTGGTATTCCTACCAATTTATATGGACAGAAATGGTAAAATCCCACCCTGGAACAAATCACAAGTCTAAACACATTTGCTGCAGGCAAAAATTGGCTTTTCTCTCCCAGCCTCCGAGGAAAAAAAGTGCTTTTTACCTGCAAATATAGGCTTTAATCTTTGCTGGAAAATAGAAAAAAGTTTGACAGAATTGCTAAACGTTTTGCTTTTCAAAAACTTTGGGCAAAATGTGATATTTGTGACATTTGTTTTGTTTTGTAGGGGATGATAATACTTACCCCACAAGGTTGCTGTGAGGACCAGATAGTTCACATGTATACAGAGCCTTAGAGGTGTGGAGTGTTACTGAAGTGCTATACGTATTAGTAAAAGTTTCCAGCTCAATTTTCTCATCCATTGGTCGGAAAATGCAATACATGTAGTCAAGAACATGTATTCCACTTTGAAGTCTCTATAAATGAGAGCCAGCTGAGGCATCATCTTTCCTCTCCTGGCACTTAACCATTTTCTAGTCATTGCTGGGTAAAACTGCATCTCGTTTAGAAATCAGTAATATTTAATTCCTTCTTGAGAGCATTTCAGAGAAAACTGCATGGTTACACTGAAAGAAAAAAACATGCACAGGAATTGTAATACAGAAATGGATTACTCAGAAAGACAGAAAAATCATGTTTTGCTGTTATGCATGCAAGCATTTGGTACTTATTTTAGCCAATCAGGGCACTGTGCCATATGTTTACTGTAAACTGTGTAATCCTCCATTGTTCATAATTTAATGTGTTTTTTCAACAGACATGTTTTGTGACTGAACAATGTGTTTTCTTTATTCTTATTTTAGAGTGCTCATGTATTAGAGCGAAATATTTCTTTTGGAAGTGCAGACCCATCTGTAAGCAAACAGTTGCTCGAAACTGAGTCTGTCTCTCTGTCTAAGGTCAGTGTGGGAATGGGATGATTTCTATGTGCCTGCTTTGCATGTTTTTTTAAATAAATGCTTTAACTAGTAACTTTGTTGTGGCAGCTTTTGTGGGTGGGCTGTCAATTATGATGCAGTTCCAGTCCTACAGCTTCTGGTTCCCCAAATGAGACTAGAGTAAAGCATACCTTTAGCTGTCAGAGAAGAAAGTTTTTAATAGGGTTTATACTAGCAAAATGAAAGATTTGAATCTGTATAATGTCCTGAAGCACCTAGAAGAAGCATGTTATTAATGAAAACGCAGGATGCTTAGATCTTTCAGTGGGGTGAAAGAGAGAGACATGGGCAATTTGGGGAAGAGTTGCTTTAAGTATAAGGAAGCTTGTAGTCTGGTGGTAGATTAATGTTAACAATGGGGGGATAAGAGACTCATTCTGAATCCACGTTTTCCAGGGCAGCAGGGACTAAGATAGCTGTGGAGACAGCACACTCAGTCCCAGGGAAGGGAGAACCTTATTTGGGTTGATTTGCCACAGACCTCTCTGGTTGACTTTGGAGCAGTATTGTTGGGTTCTGGAAAGAGCCATATGCAGAACTTCTCATCTGGATGGGTAGTTGGCAAAGCACAGGGGTACTGAGAGTGTGTATGTGGGTAAAAGGGAAAAACTGAGAGGTGGGGTCTCCTAGTGCATCTTGTGTTTCATCCATTTAGACCTGAAACTTGAGCTTCCTGGAAGTCAACAGGGTCCATGCAGAGATCTGCCTGCACAAAGTTCAGTGATTATAAGATTCTTATGGCTGGAACCATATCTTCTGTTATGTTATTATGTAAAGTACCTGGCACAAATTCTCCTCTTAACAAACAATACATATTAATTCCATACAAAACAGCTATTTTTTTAAACTGCACTGAAAAGGCAGGGGTGTCGTGGAGAGTAGTGATGTGACCATGTTGTTAAAGATCATCTGCACATAGGAAAAGAGTTAAGGTTGCACAGGCAATCTTATCTTTGCCATTTCTTGACTTTGGAATGCTTCACTTTCCAATCTTAATGTTTTTTTAATTTTAAAATGGAATTTCCTAGGTTTTTTTAAAAATATTTTTTTTATCATATGCAACTATTTGCATAAAGCTCACCTGTGCATTCCTTGTATCCTGCTGCAGCTCTGTGCAGGGCTGGTCCATTATGTAACTTATGGTGACACTCTCATGGGACCAAAAATGCAGCTGGGAATCAATGTTAGATAAAGTGTCCCAGCCATATCATAGAATCATAGGACTTGAAGGCACCTCGAGAGGTCATCTAGTCCATGCCTCTGCACTCATGACAGGACTGAGTATTATCTAGACCATCCCTGACAGGTGTTGGTCTAACCTGCTCTTAAAAATCTCCAATGATGGAGATTCCACAACCTCCCTAGGCCATTTATTCCAGTGCTTAACCATCCTGACAGTTAGGAAGTTTTTCCTAATGTCCAATCTAAACCACCCTTGCTGCAATTTAAGCCCATTGCTTCTTGTCCTATCCTCAGAGGTTAACAAGAACAATTTTTCTCCCTCCTCCTTGTAACAATCTTTTATGTACTTGAAAACTGTTATCATGTCCCCTCTCAGTCTTCTCTTTTCCAGACTAAACAAACCCATTTTTTTCAATCTTCCTTCATAGGTCATGTTTTCTGGACCTTTAATCATTTTTGTTGCTCTTCTCTGGACTTTCTCCAATTTGTCCACATCTTTCTTGAAATGTGACGCCCAGAACTGGACACAATGCTCCAGCTGTGGCCTAATCAGCACAGAGTAGAGCCGAAGAATTACTTCTCGTGTCTTGCCTACAACACTCCTGCTAATACATCCCAGAATGATGGTCGCTTTTTTTTTTTTTTTTTTTGGCAACAGTGTTACACTGTTGACTCATATTTAGCATGTGGTCCAATATGACCCTCAGATCCCTTTCCACAGTACTCTTTTGTAGGCAGTCATTTCCCATTTTCCCCATATCACCTTTTGATCAGCCCATGCCCCTTTGTCTTGTTCTTCTGGCAGCAGAAAGGGGGAGTGATGGAAGAATCCCTATGCTGACTATACATCATTGGAGAATCACACGTACACTGGCGTGACTCTCACTGAGTCAAGATGGCTTTAGGATCAGATTATGATGTTGGTGAAGCACAAAGCAGATAGCTGCACTGCACTGACCCTTTTTATTTGCCAGTCTCTGACCATTTGTTTAAATGAATATATGTATGAGTTCTTGTTGAAAAGTATTTAATGCCAGTGCCACCTTGCAGATCAAAGACTTTTCCCTGCAGCTAAGCTTGTAAAGGAGAAATCAATGAGGTAGGGGTCAGTAGACATAAAGATATATAGAGAGATTCTGTACTTACCTCATGGGGCTAATTAGTTTAAATTTTCCCCCTCAAGTGTTAGTATTTCTTATTAGGGAAGACCTTTTGCACATGTAATAAGCTCTTCTACACCAGGGAGAAAGGAATAATCATATTAAAATAAGGTGAAGTCAAAATAAACCTGGTGCTCTTCAAAACTTCTTACAGGCAAGAAGAGAGAACACTGGGAAAATGCGAGTTATGGTTTCTGGAGACAACACTAAATTGTCTATGCACTTGCATGGGCATTTGATGTAGTTATTACTTTATTGTTTAGACGTGTTTCTAGCGACCCCTTTCTCAAATCAAACATTTTTGTGATCCCCTTATGGTTACTATGAAAGTAAGCATCTGTGGTAAAAATAAGCTTATCTAATATAATTTTTTGTGTGTGTTTCAAGAGGTAGACTGAATACTCAACCTTGAAGGTTGAGGGTGTCCAGGGGTGGGGTGGGAGGGGGAGGATGAGAGTGGAGTTTTCTTTGCTTCAAAAGTTGTAATACATTTTTCAGTGTCTCCCAACCCCCCAATTGCCTTTTTTGTCCCCCCAGAGGTTGCAACACACCACACTGGTGTGGAGCCATGAGAAATAGTATTGGTGAGCACATTATTATGCAGGAACAAGTAGCTTTTTAAACTGGAGCAGACTTTTGTTGACCAGAGTGGCAGCAAAGGGGTATAAATAAGGGCAAAACTGTTTTGTATAGGCACCTTATACTTTCGTTGCTGTCTTCTTCCCCTTCAACATATTAAGCCATAATTTTGGCTTGAGTCATATAAGTTGTAATTCCTGATGGTTGCTAAGTGTGGAGAAAGTGGACTAAAGAGCCCTCACATGGGCACACGAATTATAGGGGACGTAATGGAATTATACAGAATAGTCAATCATGTGGAGAAAGTAAATTGGACACTACTACACCTCTACCCCGATATAATGTGACCCGATATAACACCAATTCGGATATAACATGGTAAAGCAGCGCTCCAGGGGGGTGGGGCTGCACGCTCCGGCGGATCAAAGCAAGTTCGATATAACTCGGTTTCACCTACAACGCGGTAAGATTTTTTGGCTCCCGAGGACAGCGTTATATCGGGGTAGAGGTGTATTTAAATTTCTCATAATGCAATGAAGCTGAATGGCAGAAACTGTAAAAGGAAATACATTTTCCTAAAGCACAATTAGCCTCCGGAACTCTGTACCACAAGATAGCACTGAGGTCAAGCACTTAGTATGACTCAAAAAATGATTAAACATTTCTATAAAAAACAGAGACCATCCACAGTTACAGTAGAGAGGACTTTTAAAAATCATAAAATTTGGAAGGGATGTAAACTCTCATGCTTCAGGCCAATAACTGACGGGATAGGAAGAATGTCCCCTAGGGTCAAGTTATTCTATAATTTGCCCACTTTTGGAGTTTCTTGTACCTTTTTCTGGAGACTTTTGGCCTTGGCCATTGTCGGAGGGAGGATACTGGACTGGATGGACCACTGGTTTGATCTATTCTATGCAAACATAGTGTTAATATGTACCCATAACTTGGCTATGAGAGTGCCTTGTACAGTTCTTCACACAATCCATTGTTTCTAAGAGAAGGAATAATACCAGGTTGTAAGTAGAGACCACTGGTGAGTCAGGAAGTATAAATATTCTAACATGAAGACTATGCCCCTGACTCCTTCACCATATCTGCTAAGCCCTTCTACATTTCCTGTTAGGGAGGGTGTGTGGAACAATGTCTACAGTTTTAATAGATGGTCAGAGTTGGGACAGCCAGCTGCCATCTTGCATTTCCCCTTCTGCTTGCAAATTTGTTGGTGTGTGCCCACTGTACGCTTACCCCTGCCAGACTTTACCCGATTAATATACAATTAATAAGTATGAAATGCCATTTCTTCTCTTAACACACAGTCCTGCCATACACAGGTATGAATCTGCAACCCAAAGTTCTTGGCTGCTTATAGCGCCAGATTTTTAAAAGAGCACAGCTTCAGTGTAGTTAGCTAGCACCAGATTTCCAAAAGTGCTCAGAACCCAGTAGTTCCTACTTCTAAAAATCTGCCCACTTATTTTGGTGTCTAAATGGGTGCTGAGCAGTTTTGTGTTCTGAGCACTTGAAACTCTGGGTCACGTAATATGAACAGTTTTGCATCATATATATATTATAAATTTAAAATATTATTTTTATACTTTTCCACCAGGAACCTGACAGCTGGGAAATCATAGAGGGGCTGAAAATAGGCCAGACTAATGTCCAGAAACCAGACAAACATGAAGGTTTCATGCTGAAGAAAAGAAAATGGCCTTTAAAAGGCTGGCACAAGGTAAATGTCTTTTGGGAGGAGCTAGTTAATATCAGTTAATTGTGTGTGTTTAAATCTTTGGTTTGTTAAGCCCAAGCATTGTTAAATAATCAAATTGGTTGAGACAGGAGCATGTGACACTCTACTGTTCAGTTACTGGGCATGAGACTTTGATGATAAAAATCACTCTTGCAAGGCTACCTCTTGGCTGAGAAAGGATCATGTGATCATCTGACCTGCACCAAAGAAGGTTTAACACAGCTTAACCCTGAATTTGCAGCACAGTCATGGGAAAGAGAGACAAACTTATTCCACACACCGTGCAGCATTTGGGCACTAGTTTGGTATAGATGTCTGCCTGGTATGGCTAGTCTCACCTTTACAGTCAGAGTAAGGACATTTGCATTTCTGTATTGCAGTGAAATCTTTTCATTGAACTTGATTATGAGGCAAACCCTACCCCCTCCTCTGCAGGTGTAGTTGGCCCCACATGAAACAATTGGTGTGCAGGTAGGGTATGGTTTGGGGAGGCCACATGAGGAGTGTGCACATGCTGGGCAGGGAGGAACCAAGACCCAAAGGGGCATAGGAGTGCTAGGACTGTGGAGCCGACTCTGTCTCTTAGGGCTGGTCTTCACTACGGGGAGACTGACGCTGCTGCAATCGATGCAGCAGGGATCGATTTGGCGGGTCTAGTGAAGACCCTCTAAACCGACAGCAGAGCACTCTCCGGTTGACCCTGTACTCCAGCAATCTGAGAAGAATAAGGGAAGTCGACGGGAGAGCGTCTCCCATCGACATAGCGCAGTGAAGTAGCTGAAGTAGCGTAACTTAGGTCGATTTGCCCCATTAGTGAAGACAAGCCCTTAGGCTGGAGTAAGCAGCTCTGAGGCATGGCTACTTCCACTCCATGGCCTCCCACCACAGGAGCCAGCCTAATTACTCAGTTGTAACAGAGAGGATAGGATTTGAGCAGAGGGCTCACTATTGCTAACATTGCAGTTGGCACATTATCGTGCATTGTAACAATTCGAGTTTTTCATCCTACTTCACTTACAATGAACTTTTACTCTGAGTTCACCATGAGTAGTTTGTTTGCACTGTAACTTATGCTTCATTTGGCTGTTCTCTTATCACTGAGATGTAAAAAACAAATAAAAAAAATCTCCTGCTAGTTCCTTCGCTTTGTTGCACCGATTGCCTGCCCACTCCACCCTCTGGTGTTTTTGCTTGCTGGACTGGTGACTGGGTTCAGCTGTGAGATGGAACTATGAATGCACAACAGCAAGGCCACCCGCCCAAAATCCATTCTTTCCTTTAATTAGTTTGGAGACATTGCTGCCCGTATTTAATTTTATTAGCTCCAAAATTGCTATTACTGGATTTAGGTCACTATATTTATGTCAAAAACAATTACCATCTTTTTGTTTGAGCAACAAGCCGTATGCTGTAAGGACTGACCCACCTCTCTTTGACTCAGAGTAATTTTCCAGTACAAAATACATGTTGCTGAAAGAAACAGAAAGGCCTGCTTTTATGCACAGCTTTTTCTGGAAGAGCATTAACCATGGTTTTGCTAAGCAGTGTGGGCCGTATTCATAGGTGAGTCTAAAATGGTGGGTGTAAGTAATATTTTTCTCCTCCTCCCCACCCACTATATATTGCACTGACTTAGTCTCATTTGTGGTTACCAAAATGTAACTTCCACACATCTGTCCCTTTGAATCCTGAACACCTGTTCACCTTAGGGTTTTTTCCCCCCCAATAGTGCCTATAAACATAGTATTTAAGTGCTGACACATCATCCTGAATTTGACCTACTGAAAGTAAGGGAGTTTATGTTGGTGTAACTCACACGCTGAGGGACCAGAAGAGAAGAGTTTATCAAGAAAAACAACTAATGGGACGTGTAAGAATGTATAGCATAAAGCAAGGCACCTCCTACTTCAATATGCACTAACTTAGGCTCCTTCACACCACGTTATATATATAACAGGGTAACTGGCTCCTTAAATGGAATCAGGCTCAGCTCTCCTGTTCCAGTCTAGTTGTGACCTAGTTTGGTGCAATGAGGTGAGCCGGGCTGCCCCTTGGCGTTATAAATGGGAGATAGCACAAAGGTGAGAAAGTCCAGATCCCAGAGTTCAGAGAGGGAGCACTGGGAGTTTGGAACCCAGAGAGGGAGCTCAGACGTAGAGCAGAACTGGGTTGAGAGCTTCAGGGCGGGTGCCCCTGAAGGAAGGTGAGAGTTCCTAGTTGAGGTTTGGAGCCACATCAGGCCAGGGCTGCCCAGAGGATTCAGGGGGCCTGTGGCAAAGCAATTTTGGGGGCCCCTTCCATAAAAAAAAGTTGCAATACTATAGAATACTATATTCTCGTGGGGGCAAATTGCCCCACTTGCCGCCCCCCCCCCCGGGTGGCCCTGCATCAGGCTGGTGAAAGCAGAAGGTGGAAAGGTAGCCGGGGGTGGGGGAGCAGGGGTGTGTGTGTGTGAGAGAGAGAGAGACCTACAAACTTGAATATACTGCTTGGACTATGCTGGGGAATTCTGGATTATGACTGTGGTACTTCTGTAATCAATTAACCTTACAAAGTTCTATTTATACTTGGAAAGCTTGCATAGAGTTACTGGGGACTCCAGAAGAAAGGGGAAACTGAGGTAGAAACACCAGTCGTGCTGCGGCCTGCCACTGGAGGACATCCCTGGTGGGGCAGCCTTCTCACTGGGGCTCAAAGAGAATGAATCTAAGGGAGTCTAACCTTGTATCACCTCCAAGGGCCAAATTATCAGCCCCTTGCACATATTGGTGAACAGTTATATTGACTCAAGTGGGTCTACTCACGTGAATATCTGTTTATGGATGTGAATAAGTGGATCACAGTCTGGCCCTGGGTCTTTATCCCATTTTTACAAATCACATACAAATACGATATCCTCAACTTGCATTCGAGGACTGGATTCGTTAAACTGTTTTTCAGAGTGCCTACGTGATGTGTCGTCTCTGTAAAAAATACAGTGTGCTGAGAGATAGTGAAAAATTCTAAAGACAGTAATTGCAGCACACGGTACATCAGCAATAATGCACTAACAGTTTACATTTGCTGTATGTAGCATATTTCATGCTGAAGGGTTTCAAAATGCTTTGGTAACATAAGAGATTCCTTTGTATAATTTGTATATTAGTTTATCCAGCATGCTTTCGCGTGAAATGATGTGGCTGTTTCTCTGCAATATTCAAAACTGCACTACAGTTTAGAATAGGAAATGGGAGGAAAATACTTTTTATCCAGTGGAAAGTGTGGGAGAAATGTAGAAAGGCAGAATTACCTGCCACTAACATCTCTACCATTACAAAAAAATTCCAAGGGGTCTTTAATGGCCGTAATTTGACTGTATATCTCCTCCAATGAATGTCTCCAGCAACACGGTTCCCCCACATACCAGGTTGAGACATTGGTGTCACCTCCTGAGTCACTAGCATCACTTCATGCAGCACTGTCATGAGGTACTTACAGAGGTCTGTGATTCAAGTACTGGCCCTGCCCAGGTTGTTAGATTTAACAAGATCACAACACAAGAGGTTTGTCATTCCTCTCTACTCCAGTTTCCTCAGAGGGCTTGTCTAGACTAAGATAAAAGGTGTATTTTTAAAATTTGTTTTAATATGTTAAAAATACTACTTGCCCTCTCTACACTAGGATTTTTTAAAATGTGTTAGGGCTTCGCTAGATTAGGATCCAAAGGTGTGATGTTAGCACACATTAGTTAACATCTTTTAAAAGTCTAGTGAATAGAAAGCACACTGCCTTCAACACATGCTAAGCTGGTTAAGATAAAGCCCACTGCCTCGTCTATGCTACAGTTTCAGAATGTGTTAGCTAATCCATTCTAACAACACATCTTTTATGATAGTAAAGACAAAACCTCAGAGTAGAGAATATTGTTCTCTGCCCATCCTCCGTCATGGGGGAGAGACATACGGTAGTGGAGTAGTGAGTCTTAGCATGGATCCCGTCCCAGCTGAAGATCAAAGGACCACAAGAGTTAGGTGGTTCTACCTTTTGGTCTAGGAATAGCTTTGGGTTTCCTTTTTCCTGGATGAGGAAGCTAGAAAAGCCATTAATGTGGAATGTGACTAATGTGGGTGGGAAGAAAGCGATGGAGAGCTTGAAGAAACCAGTGACCTTTTTTAAAATGGTAAGTCGGAGTGTCAGCCCTATAGACCTCTCTGGACTAGTCAGAGAGCAGGAAGCTATCTTGGGCTACTGAGCATTCCCAGGGAAATTCCTGAGAGACCTGTCTGTTATGCCTAGAAGATAATTGCTGCCAAAACAAATGAAAGCAAATAGTCAATTCAGTACTGCATTTACAGGGTTCTTTCTGGCTCCAGATTCTAACTGCAAGGTGCAATGGGATAACAAACTTGTTTTCATAGATGTGATTTTACATAGTTAAAATTGTATTTGATCACTAAGAAGAAACTGTATTTTTTTTACTGCAGCGCTTTTTTGTCCTGGATAATGGAATGTTGAAGTATTCAAAGTCACCAATTGATGTAAGTAAAACTGAAGGCCATTCTTAAATTTTGATTGAAAGCTTGGCCTGCTATTTGATTAAACCTCGTCGCACTATGGATTCTTAAAGGAACATAAACTAGCAGATCATGGCTGGTGGGCTCAAAATGGGTAGTGCTGCTTCCATGGAAGACCTCTGTGTGTGCTCTGCATAGATTTAGGATGGCTGGGGAAGACGCAGGGCTTAGGGACCACTGCTCTTCATGACGTAGTCTCTTCACTGACTCACTGGGGCTATCCTGGTGAACTGATGTTGACTGGGTCAGCATTAATTTGCATAGCTTCCCACTTTGCTCAGTGACCTACCCCAAAAGATCAGGTTGAGCTGGTGGCCAGGAACACCTTTGGAGAATGGTTCATGGAGAAGCCAGGGTGGTGGCTGCAGAGGCTTTTGCTTGAATGAACCTAACCTCCAATGAATTCATCACAATATATGAGTTTCCAGGCCTAAAACCGCTCTCCTAAAGGGAGAGTGGCAGGGAAACTCTGCAAGTGCAAACTAGAAGTTTCTAGTACCCTACATGGGAAAGGAAGATGTGGTCCGTCGTTAAATACATTGCTCATTTATATCTATGCTATAAGGTACCTCTGGATTTATTAAACTACTGATGATCAAATCCAGCTCACCTAATTCATACAAGTGTCCACATTTAAATCAGTCATGGGCATGAAAAAAATATGTAATTAAGGCTATCAGAATTTGGCCCTCTATCAGTTATTTGCCATAGCAGAGGTATCTAATATGTTTACCATATTTTTGGGTTTACTGTTGTAGCTGATGTACAGTTACAGTATGATGGGTGAAAAAATTAGGGCTACATCTGTGACCATTGTAATGAAACTATCCCCTTACTTTTGTAGCCATGTTTTATTAAGATTCTGCAAATGTATTGTATTGATAATCTTTCTGCATTTAGTCAAGACTGTGTTCTATAGCTTTTTAAAAATGTAATACACTGTGGACTCCCCATTTCTTGTGACTTAACCAAATTTTTCAGACAAAATTCTGCCCTCAGATTCATTGTGCATTTTTGACTGACCGTCTGTTTTCCCATTGGGAGATGCACACATGGACAGAAAGTAGGTTATTAGTCGAGCTCTAGCCCAGAGCAGAACTCTGCCTGTTCTGACTTTTATGAAAGTACAGAATAGATTAATTAAAGAGTCATTTATTTAATGAAGGGCCTTGACTGATCAGCTGGACGTAATTTTAACTCTTTAATTTGGTGTCTATTCTGTACAAAATCAAAATGAATCATTCTAAACTTAGTTACACTGTGGTGTGAGTCATCAAGGCTGTTTATTGGACCTGACTTTGGAGTGAATTCTTCTTGGGGAATGGGGCCCTCTTTTTCTCAAAACAAACCTAGTGTGCCATCTGATTTAGTACTGTTTTCTCTTGTTTTACATTAAAATCTTCTCTAAAACAGGAAACAACTACATCAATATTATTTCAGTCAGAGACAGTAAAGCATTTGATATTACCAGTCTCTTAACATGTCTTCTGATTTCAGATTCAGAAAGGCAAGGTACATGGAAGCATTGATGTTGGCTTATCAGTTATGTCAATTAAAAAGAAAGCTCGTAGAATAGACCTTGATACAGAAGAGCATATCTACCACCTGAAAGTGAGTAGTATTGCAACAAGTTTTTCTTCTCTTTTCATTCACAAGGGAAACCCTTCAGAGCTATTATTTAAAGCATGAAGGAAGCAGGATATCTTTATGAACAGATAACTGACAGTGGCTCTTCTTTTAGGTGAAGTCCCAGGATTCATTTGATGCATGGGTATCAAAACTGCGCCACCACAGATTGTACCGTCAGAATGAGATTGTAAGATCACCAAGGGATGCCAGCTTTCACATATTCCCGTCAGCCTCTACTACAGAGTCTTCATCAGCTGCTAATGTTGCTGTGTTAGATGGAAAGGTATACAGCATCCCTTATATGGAAACTCATCTTGAAGTTAGTGTAATACTTACAGTGGGCTGGGTTCCCTAGTGGACACTGGTGGATTCTGGTTGTAAAGCTGGTGTAATCAGCCATGGAAAAATCACCAAAGTAGGCAACACTGGCCAGCAAGCATCTGTGGGTATGTAGCTGAAAGGTTAATTGATTCAGCACGTCCCTGCTGCAGCCTTCATTAGTGGGTTTCCTATAGAGACCCCATTAGAGCCCCAAGCTTCCCTAAAACAATTTACACTACCCTGAACCAGCAGGGGTTAATTTGGCTCTTTATTGTTTCATAATGTTCTTCTTAGCAAACAATAATTTTTCAAGCTGATGCTCAGGAAGTTCTGTTTTTTTCAAGGGGACCTGTTTGGTATTCCAGTGTGCTGTTCTGAAAAGATACTTCTTAAGGACTGAAAAGTCTGTTTCAAATATATCATTTAAATTCAGATATAGAATTTAATTTCTGATTTAAAAGTTAGTGTGAAGATTAGGTTGATCAGCAAAGCATGGATCATAACAACATATTTTAAATGTTCTTGTTTTGTTTTAGGTTCCACAAAATAGCTTCCCATGGCAACCCGCCATACCATGTAGTAATAGCCTCCCTGCAACATATACTACTGGCCAAAGTAAAGTAGTAGCATGGCTGCAGGATTCTGAGGAGATGGACAGATGTGCAGAAGGTCAGTTATTCTCTTTCATGTCTTTCTTTATAAGAGAGACTGTTGATATATTATAAAAATAGTAAACAAAAAAGGTTAAGATACTTCTTTATGTTAATATAAAATGGCACATTTAAAATAATAAGCTGGTAACATTTAAAACTGTTCATTGTGGTGGAGTATATTCTTTGTCTTCACATTTCTGGATGTCACATTTTAAATTTTATTTTTGATTGTTTAAAAAAAAAATCCGAATAACTATTTTTGGTAAAACAATACCATTCCCCTTTTAGGGCCCAGTCCTGCTTCCATTGTCCGCAGTGGGAGCAGCAGGTGCTCAGCACTACTGAAAATTGGGCCACTTACTTAGAATATCAGGGTTGGAAGGGACCTCAGGAGGTCATCTAGTCCAACCCCCTGCTCAAAGCAGGACCAATCCCCAGGCAGATTTTTGCCCCAGATCCCTAAATGACCCCCTCAAGGATTGAACTCACAACCCTGGGTTTAGCTGGCCAATGCTCAAACCACTGAGCTATCCCTCCCCCACTTAGGTGCCTAAATGGGAATTTAGGTACTTAACTTATATGTATTCAGGCTTTGAAATTTGATCTCATTGTTTGTCTGAAAATTACAATGATCAAAACTACTGGAGTAAATTTATTAAGATTCTTCATCTTTAAATACATGGCATACTTCCATTTTTTACTTGTTTCATTCACCTCCATCTCCAAAAATATGAAATATAATAAAATTTGGTAAGAAGACAGGGAATTCACTCTTGTTTTATTATGGTTTGTTGTTCTCTGTCTTATTTTTTTGCCACCAAAATTATTTATTTAAACAGAATCAAATGGCTAGCAAAGTTAGCTGAGCGGAGAATCTAATGGCTGGCAGAATTAAGTATGCAGTGAGTGAAATCAGTGGCAAATAAAGTTGATTGGCAAAATAATAGGCACTAGGGACCATTTTCCAAATGGGGAAACAGGTTATCAGACTATGAGTAATGTATGTCAGATACCAAATGAAGATACTGAAAGAAAGCAGAATTTGGAGTGATGTGAGAAAACATAAGCCTCAAACCCTGCAAACGCTTACACATATACTTCCTTTTATGCACAAGCACTAGTGTTTGCAGGGTTGGGGTAATAGTTGCAGAGTGCCTAGTGATCCTACTAACTGCTGGGGCAGAGAAGATGGTGGCTTTATGCTGGTGGCAGAAGAAGAGGGTAGAGATCCAACAAGTGGGTCTGAGGGCTAATTGCCTCCTCCTCTGGTGCCTGTCTCTGTCCCTTTTGCAGAAAGATGAGGTTATCAATTGGTACATAATCCTTAATACAGAGACTGGACTGCATGAAGGAGCAAATTCCAGTCTTGATTTCTTTGTAGTACTATAGTATAGACAATTGTGCTCTCTGCTGGTTTATGATACCAGAGTAAAAGCTGTCTCTCAGTCAAAGTACTTAATGTATTTTCCTTTTTATATGCATTAGATCTTGCACACTGCCAATCAAACCTCGTGGAACTTAGTAAGCTTCTTCAAAATTTAGAAATTCTACAGAGGACTCAATCGGCACCGAACTTCACAGACATGCAGGTAAATGTATTTGAAAACCTGGTTCGTCGATGCTCTAGTCATTAAATACCTTTGGGTTTGAAACATTTCCTACGTATGGCAAAGGATGTTGCATTTTAAATCAGACTACTTTATGTTCTGGAATTTTAGTACTCCTCTGGTTAACAGGATAATTTAATAATGATTGCACCACATGTGTCAACCCCCCTTCCTCCCACCCACCCACACGCCCAAAAAAACCCACCACGAAAAACATCTTATTGATATAAGGTCTTTTACTAATTTGAGGTAGATGGGATTACTCCTATGTCCTTTGCCAAAAATAGAATGAAAAATATAACTAAATAAAAAAGTATGTTGAGTGCTGTTATCGTGCTGTATATGGTATGTTTAAGTAGCAGTGAAATTTAAGGGTGTGGGAGATCGAAACCGGGAAGGTATCAAGCACCTCCTGAGTAGTGTTGAATGCTATCAGTGCCTGAGCACTCCAGACAAGTGGGAGTTCAGGGTGCGCAGCATCTTACATGATTGACTCAATAATGTGGACAGTCACAAAGAATTGAGAGCACTGATTCCTGTTCCCACCAATCAGAGTGAGTTTGCCGCTGATTTCAGTCAGAGCAACAGCAGGCTCCAAATCGTGAAGACTTCATTAATTTTTTACTCAGTCCTTGCTCATGTAAAACTCCTGTTGACTTCAGTGGGGGTGAAACCCAGGCCCATCTGAACTCAGTGGGGGTGTTTTCTAAAGGTGTTTTGCCATTGAATTTTCTGGGGCCTGGATTTTGCTCTGGGAGTTTTCTCTGAGTAATGACAGTAAAAATGAATAAGAATGCAGGATTTTGCCCTAAATATTTTGTGCTGACAAATAAAATATACTTAGTAATTTTGTTAAATATACAATTAGTTATGGTATAATGTTTGTCTCTAGTGCTTAGTAGTCTTGTTTTAATTATCCTGTGGCTAACTTTGTAGGTAGATCAACAGAGTGAGCACCAGAGTTTCCATTCTGTCCTTACTCTCCTATATATTGATGTTTAACATTATGATTCTTTACTAACTGCTGTCCTATCTGTGTCAACTTAATAGTGCTTTGTTGCTTTTAACTATTTGTGTAATGTAGGCTAACTGTGTAGATATTTCAAAGAAAGACAAGCGGGTCACAAGACGATGGAGAACAAAAAGTGTCAGCAAAGATGCAAAAATACAACTTCAGGTACTGAATTCGTATTGTTTGCCTTTCCATTATACTTTCAGGTTAACATGTATATGAAAGCAATTGTATAAAATAATCAGTACATTGAATCCTGATGGTTTGATTTCAAGCCTGAGTTGGTTATTTAAACCCTAGATAAGATAGTGAGAAATATATTGGTTTTACTCTCATTGGTATGAAGACATTGCCAAGGAGAGAAAGGTGGAGGGATTGAGTGCCAGTGTCAGTTAGGATACAAAGAAGGCAATATGTATATAATGCTCAGCATATTAAGTATGTAGCTGCTATGGAGGGCAGTTGATCTGGAGGCACTGAGATAAAAACAGAAAACAAGAATAGAATACACAACAAATGCAGCCCTCTTAGGCCATGTCTGCAGGGAGCTTTACCAGTGGGACTTTCCCCCTCAAAGTTCCCTAGTTGTAGAAAAGACCATTCTGTGAATTCTTAGTTTCCAAGACACAAATTTACAAAGAATTCATTATACGAGGGGAGAGCAATGTCCCTTTCCTTGTAGTTGAAGCATAAGGCAATCATAAGAGATGGATTGTGTACTGAAATAAACACCTTACACTGATATTTTAGTCAGCTGCACAATGCCTTCCTATGTTTTGTGTGAAACAACTGTGAATTTTGGGGCCTATTTGTTGCAATTCTCCAGCAACAGGTAACAAAGACTGTGTTCAGCATTATATATCAATCAAAGTTACTTGTTGTGAATGGCTACATAAATGACTGTGTAAGATATTAATTCCTTATAACAGCTTTTGGTCCATTTAAATACACTGAAAGTAATAAGAGCTTTGCAAATCTTTGCTGTGTCCCCTAGAGTCAATTAAGGAGCTCACTGTGATACATTTGAAATTGATAGCCTGAAGCATAAAGTTAAATAATAAAGTGTAAACGGTTACAGTTTCCCGGCGTTAGTGATGTCTGTTCACCAGGTCTTCACTATATTACCTATTCAAAATGGGTGACAGAGCTAAGCATATATTAGTATTAAAAGTCTTCATGAAAGTAGGATTCTGGTTGATTGACATTTCTAACCGCCTCGCTCTCAGAGGATAATTGCTGTTTGAGGCCGTATGTTCCCCTGCTGCTGCACAGCACTGAGGCAGCAAAAGTGCAGGAGAAAGGACTTTAAGGTCCCTAAAGGGGGAAGTGGAGCCAACTTGGCATGCTCTTCTCATCCATCACCTCACTCTTGGAGAAGCCCCTGTGCACAAAAATCACTTGGGATCTGTGAGTTCTGGAGTGTATTGAGGAGCTATAAAGCAGCTACTGAAGGGGTAGCATATAGCCATCAGCAAGACATTTCAGTGGGCCATGCTTCCAGGGAGTGGGACATGAGGGAGCAGTGTAGACGGATGTCCTTCTGTATGGAAGCCCTGAGACCTACAGGTATAGATCCACACTTAAAACAGCTCCAATATAAGATGCTGTGAGGGATTTTGTCCCCCGCTCTGGCATCACTGTATAGAGAAGCCCACAAGAGAGCAGAGGAGAATTCCTCCAATGCAGGCTACCATAGTCAACCCTGCGCTAGCCCCCTCACAAGCACAGGGGCATGCTGGGGGAAGAGCCATGGTTGGAAGAGTCCATAGTGCACAACGCTGTGGTCATTCTGGCTTGTGTTGCAAGCCATAGGCAGTATCAGAGAGGCTATCATAACTTGCAGCCACCTCCCAGTCTGCTTTAGTTATGCTGAGGGCTATTTCTGTCCCAGAATCAAGAGGACACACAAGTGATTTAAAGCACTGTTGCCTCCGTCTCCCTGAAATGTGCTTTCTGTGCTGCATCTCTTGGCGGCCAGCTCAGAATCTGACCCATCCTGTCCTGAAGGCCACACTCTTTGTTCTTAGCATAGCCACATTGTTTCACCCTGGCCTACGCTACAAACTTATGTCAGTATAACTTGATGGCTCAGGGGTGAGCGACGTAATTCTACCAATCTAACCCCCCGTATAGACAGCACTATGTCGACGGGTGGGCTTCTCCTGTTGACATAGCTACTGCCTCTCAGAGAGATAGAGAACCTACACCGATGGGAGAAGCTCTTCCGTCAGATGGATAGCGTCTTCACTAAGCGCTACAGTGGCGCAGCTACATCGGTGCAACACTATGAGTATTGACAAGCTCTTCATCTTAAGAGGTGATTGCCTCAGAAACCCAGAGTTTTTAGGATAGTTTGTTCCTGTTAGGTTTTGCCTTAGGGAGGGGAATAGAACACTTGTGTGGGTCTGTTAATGGGATATTGAGTCTATCCCACAGCCGTAGACAGGATAGACTTTATGAATAATAAGCCTTCTCTAATAGATGGGTGTTTGATCTAGCCTTGAATATTTCCATTAAGTGGAATTCCACAGTCTCCTTTGTCAGCTTGTTCCATTGCCTAATGATAGAACCATGTGGAAAAGGTCTTATTTTCTTTCTCGTAAAGTTCTAACACATTTTTTTTTTAAAGAAACAGTAATGCTTTTCATCGTAGTCATATACCAGATCCATGAATTTGAGTGGCTTTGTACCTTTGGCTTTGTATCTTGTAATAGTTGGTTGAAAATGTGGATCTAGGATATTTGCATTTAAGTTGATACTGCTTCTATAGTGTCAGTGGCAGAGTTGGAATTAGAATTGGGGTCCCAAATTCCTACTCCTGTGCTCATCCCTATAGACAATATGGACACTAACAAAATCTCTTCTAGATTTCTATGTACTGTGCTCTACATCTGTTTTTGTAAATAACATTGCTTTTGTTGTATTCTTACTAATGTATGTTTCTGGAATATTCACTCTAGTTATACATTGAAACACATGTTTTTTTCCTTTGATGCAAGTCTTACTGCTTGCTTTAGTTTCTGTGAATATGTTTTCACCAATTTATGTCCCAATCTCTCAAAGACTTCTACACATGCTTAACTTCACTCACACAAGTAGTCCCACTGACTACAATGAGCCTAATCTCATGAGTAAAGTTATGCATATGCATATTTGCAGGATTGATGACCTTTTTTGTTAAATTAACAGCCCAGACCTGCATACATTTACTTCAGAGAATAGCACTTAATCAATGGGTATGCTTCTTGGATAAAGGGCTACATGTCTGAGAAATGATTTTCAGAAACAGGCTGTAAAGTACAAAATGTTCCAAGATTTGTCTAAACGAAATTATCTAACACAAAAGACTAGTTGAGCTACCTTTTGCCGTTCTCTTAATGACACTTTTGTACAGGGAAGCTTGGTTTTTGTATTCTTTTTTCTGTGTTATGAGTAAAATGTCAATTTGTAATTCTCATGAGACGCCAAGGGTTTTCAGAAGAAAAAAAGATTGTGTTTCCTAACTGGAGTTCCATTTTTAGTGCTCTTAAGTTGACTTTTTTTTAGTTCAAAATAATAACATTGCAGGCTTGTTTTACTAATAAAAATTGTTTTAAAGATAGACAAAAATATTTATCTACATTTTCTGTGCTAGGCCATCTTGGAGAGTTAGCTTGTTGTTATGAAGCTCTTAGCATAACAGTAGAACCAAAGCAAAGCAACCCTTCCATCCCCAAAGGCTACTTTGACTCCCCTTCTGATTAACATTACATGTTCTTGTTCACTACTGGAATTTCATATGTTATCTCACTTTGTAATGTATTCTTGAGGCCATATGACATCTGCCATTTACATTTTAGCCTGCATGCAAAAAACAGCACATTTTCTTTATGAACCACAGTATGTATTCTCACGTAGCTAAATTATAAGAGGATATTTTTGGCAGGACTTTTACAGGATGGGGTTCTGCTATAGAGCAAAATCTGTTACAACCAGTACAATCTTTCTTACATTGAAGGAGATTTTTTTTCTAGTGCTGGTGTCACATAAAATGGTGGCTGAGGCAATTACTACTCTGCGGAAGTAAAAATTTGATTAATAGAGTTTTCCCCCTTCCCAGTGTCGTCAATGCTGCAACTAGAATTAACCAGACTGTATAAGAAGCAACTGTCTTCCCATGCACATCACTTTATAACATACCAGCTGAACTTTACTGGGCTCAAGGAGTGAAGGATTTGAATTAATTCTCAAACCAGGGTGTCCTGTACATATGTATACCAGTGTTCACAGGCCACCAATCTGGACTGATATTATTCTTTTTGTTTTATTATTTCAAACAATGATTTGGTGCCCAGGCTATATTTTAAATAAATAAAGGTATATAGTTCTAAAAATATCCCAGTGCCTGAAATGGGAGGAGATGTATGGAGGAATGTATGTATATGTATTCTTTTCTTTCACATGGACAATAGGAATTGTACATGAGGAGAAAATACACCTATAAGCAGGAAATCAGATTTTCTAGTCTTATAAAATGTTGAGATTTCTCAAAATGTCATTACTTGAAGGTAAATGTGAAAGGAGAATGTTTTGCGACAGGCATGGAGCGATACTGAAATATACTGAGTATATTGAAAAATTATTTCCTTGACTCTATGTCGACAGTATGAATTTTAAAAAGTCATTTAGAGTCAGTTAAAAGTTGAACCTGGGTATAAATCTTTTCAGGATCAGGGATTCAGTAGTGCAAATAAAAATATGTGACAGGGTATACGAGGCATTTGATGCCCTTACTTTGGCGCATCCTGCCCAAAGCCGGTGTCCTTTTGGGGGAAAAAGAGAAGCACGTTTAGACCTCCAGGAGCTGTTGAGAGACACCACCCAGGATCAGCTGCTTGTGGAACCAATGAGAATTGGTCCTCCAGCAGCTAAAAGGGCCGGAACTGGGTGGAAGCAAATCAGGGCCCAGCAGGCAAGATAAAAAGGGCTGACTGCATCCTCCTCTGGGAGGCAGTTTGGGTAGGCTGGGACAAGGAGAAAGAATCTCCCCTCCCTCAACCGAAAAAAGCCTAGTCTAGTCAGAGGCCTACCTATGACCGATCCTTTTATGGTTGACTCAGCGGAAGCCTGTGATGTTTTACTTTTGTGGAATTTAAAGCCTAGGTGACAATCTTGAATTGGACATC